ATTGTAGTTCTACCCAAATATTTAAAAATTATCTATGATAGATAAATAAGTCACACTTAAAATATATATTTTTAAAGAAAGTTAGGTTCAAACCAAGTAAATTATAATAAAATATAGTATAACCTAATTTATTTTCATCTTTAATACTAATCGTAGATATAAAAAACTTGTAATAAATAATTATAATATATATTTATACCTTTAAAAGATATATAAAAATTTTAATACTACAAATATATATAAGAAATTAAAAATAATAAATTAAAAATAAGAAATTAAAAAAAGAAATTAAAAATATAAATTAAAAAAAGAAATTAAAAATATAACTTAAAAATAAGATTTCCGACGGAAAACTCCGTCGGAAATTTCCGACGGAATAATTATGTCAGAAATTTTTCGGCAGAAATTTCTGACGGATTTATTTATACCTAAAATTGTGAACATCACATCTTTAAATTCTAATGAAAATTGCAATATAAAGATTAACAATAAAATTTAGAACATTTAAATTAGAGAAAAATTATCATGAAAAAAGAAAAAAAAATACAAATAATAAAATAAGAGAAAGAATTGTAAATATCACCTTGAATTTCTATGGTGAAAATTGCATCGTCTATAAATGGGAAATAAAATTGTGTAGTCAAGAAAAAGGGAGAAATTAGGTTTAAATTGACAATAAGAGAAAATAAATTGTGTAAAACTTTTGGTATGAGAGAGATACAATAGAATGTAGAATCCTTTATACATACTGACACTGAGTTAAGATGAATTGTTTATAACTTTAAGAAGGAAAAAATATAATAAAGTGGAGTTACTCATCGGTTGAAATTGTAACTACCAAATATTATATTAATTAATATTATATTAATTGTGTTCATAATAGCCGACAATTATATGAGTAATGTAAAGAGATGAGAAAAAGTTGATACAAACAAAATACTAATGTAGTAACAATTGAGATTAATTTTATAATGTGTCAATATAAAGACTTGTAACTCGACTTATATTATAAATAGAAGATATATATATATATATATATTTTTTGATAGTGTAAATAATTCTTTTGTTCTCATTTAATTATAAATTATCGTATAAACTGCTAAATAATTCTTTTAGTCATTTTTATTTAATCAGTTCAATTTAAATATCTGATTATTATTAAAAGATTCAAATCGATACTTAATTTTTAAAAATAATACAATATTGTCTTTTTCATCCAATCTAGACCAATGATATTATTTTCTTTTATACACGTGTGAAACAATAAAAGAAAATGATGTGTCACTACTTATTAAACAGATAGTAATTTAGTAATATTGATTTTATAAAACTTTTACTTTAGTTTTATTTTCTAAAATATTGTTCACTTCAATTCATTATTTTTTTAAGTACATAATATATCATAAGTAATTTTTACACCGCGGTCTAATTTCACATTATCATTATAATAAGTATGTTAAATTTTACAAAAAATTGTCCTAAAGCATCATCTAGAAGAGTTTAATTTGTTTATTTATTTTTGGAAAAGATAATTTTGGCTGTCTTTTTTCTGACCAAAAGAAGGCTCGTTACAATTGTAGTAGTAGCAAAACATGTCCTGAATTGAAGTGTCCATCACGCTTATACTGTGCATGATTTTTTATGTCTTTGGCTGATTTAATGGATTCTTTTGTATAACCATGATTGGAAATTTGAACCATTCCACAATAAATATGTGAATCACATATATCAATGCAGTAAAGATCTAGATAATGCCTTGAGAATATTTTTGTACAACGAAAATATAAAAATCTCAAATTCTACAGCACCTTTGTTTTTTGGTTCATGCTACTTACATGTTCATTATTTGTACATAGTTTGAGTTAATTACAATTAAAATATTTGCAACATGGGAGATACTTCTATCACAATCAGTTTGAAACGATAAGGAGCAAAATTCTGAAAAATAGGTGAATTCCTCTGCTACTAGAATCTTTCTTAGTTTTATTCACACTTGCATCTGTTCTTGCAGAAGAGGTATCTTCTTGTCCAAAGAATCTGATGAGCTTTCGTCACAGCCTGTCTTTTCTTCATTTCCTTTGATTTCTCCATGCATTATTATATAATACCCCACTCCAAGTACAGTTGCTCCTATTACACTGCACAATTGTGTTACTAGAAATTATGTGAACCAAATTTGTTATGCATAAAAGTATCCATATATGTGGGGTGAAGAAGTAAAACTACCTCCCATAATGAAGGCTGTTAGAAAAGAAGGAAACTGCAAAAGTAGTGGCAAAGACAATACCAAAGGGCTTGAAAAGTGAGACGTAAAGTGGACCCTTCATGCGAGTGAACCATATTTGAATATTGGGACGAATCACACCCCCAACTACTGCCTATATACATATTTCACATCAGCATATGTAATTATGTAGGTTTTGCTGTTTTTCAATTATGCATATTATATATCAAAATGATATCTAATTATGTTGATACTCACAGTTAAAACAATGAGAATGAGATCATTGTCACGCCTTAACTTCCAAGCATTTATGTCTCTCTCCACTATCCATGAGACTATTGCACTGAGGATTGTCCCAACTAAGCTAGAATAAGAAAGCACCTTCACTGGTTCTGGATATTGCTTCACACTTTCTTTCTATCATGGTGAAAAAGGACAAACTTGAATCATCACCAAGATTGTTCATTCCAAAGGAAAAACGGATTTTAAGAATAGAAAAGAGGGTTTAAAAAAGAAAAGAGGAACCTGGACTAAGTTGGAAATTGAAACTGAGAAGGAAGCTGCAACAAGCAAAACACCACCAAGAAGCCAAAACTCTGGTGTTGAAGAGAATACAAGATGTTGCTTAGTGTGTCTAAGGTGGTGAGAAGATGGTCTTACAAGTGGTCCCTTGAAGACTTCAGCTACCACTGCTCCCATTATTGATACCAAAATACCAATCACTTGGACTTGGATAACAGGGCTTCTCAAATTCAATGTCTTCCTGAAATTAAATTCAACTCATTAACTTTTTAATAACTGCTATTTACTACAAATTAGTTTGTACAAAAAGAGATGAATCATATAGTATGCATGACTATAAAGTTGGATTAAAAGCAAACATCCACTTAAATTTTAATTTTAATACGTTACATTCGTGCAAGTTTGTCTTTCTTTCTTTATCAACTATAGTTTTACTTTATTAAAATTATGTGCCGATTAGATTAAAAAAAATTTACATGTGTAGATTTTCCATTTTGTACTATTAAAATTTATAGTTTTATAATTTACTAATATAATTATATACGTAAAATCTATGTACTTTCCAATACATGGCAGATGGACATCATGGTAAAAATAAAGAGATAATATAAACAAGGAAATCATCACTGAGTTTTGGTGAGGAACCTGAGAATGAGAGAGAGCAGAAAATTAAACGTTGGGATCAAGTGGCCCATGGCACACACTAGTATTGGTGAACTATAACATAGACCCAGGAATAAAAAGTTCTGAGTCATGGTTATCCTGCAAAATCAATCAATGAAAAAAGTGGCAAATAGAGTACTATTGTTGAGCTAACCACAACTTCAGCAAGCAAATAGAATATTCAATTATGAAGATTCTATTTGAAGGACATAAGAAAAGGCATACAATTTTATTTCAATTATTCAAAGGCCCTCCTCACTAGGGAGAGATATACCCTGTAAAACCGAGGAACAAGAAGCGCATGAACAAAGAGAAAGTAAAAGTTGGCCTCTCCTTTCTGTGGAAAAAAGAGAATATTGAAGATCAGAACCTAAACATATTCTCCATGCAAACAACTTGTAGCATGCAGGTACATGGAAAAGAAAAAGAGAGACCTGTTCTCTTGCTGCGATAAAAAGGAACAAGGGAACAGTATTATAGTGGCAAGAGCGTTGGTATAAACAATGAACACAAATGGACTCATTCCATTACTTATTGCAGTTTTTGCAAAAATCGTCAGCCCTATGGTCCAACCTTCCATAATCACCAACACTATGAATGGAAGCACTTCATACATGATCTTAGTCTTAGCCTCCATTGAGTTTTTCCACTTGTGTACTCACTTAGAGAGTGCTAATATGTTAAAAACGGAGATATAACTATATATAACTATTATATTTTTGTATCTCTTAAACAATTCATATTTTTAATTTTTAATTTCTAACATAGTATTTAGATTTTAAAAGATATTAATTTTTTTAGAATTAAAATATATTATATTTATTTTAAAAATTTGTTTTCTTTTTTTAAAATTAAGATTAGGTCAATACATAAAAACTCTTAAAACGATTAGAATCATCATACATGTAAAGAAGGTCACTACCTTAAATAAGAAAGGAGATCATGAAGGAGGTTTTTAAATTTCATTAGAAAACTTATGAGGGAGAGATTTTCAAGTTTTACTCAAAAAACTTGTGAGAAAGGAATTTTCAAATTTTACCCATAAAGTAAACTTGTAAGAAAAGGTTTTTTAAGTTTCATTCATAAAACTTGTGAGGAAGGATTTTTAAATTTCACCTACAAAACTTGAACGGAGAATTTTTAGGAACATATATATAATACATGTTGAGATAATAAATATCCTTGTAGATTTAGGTATGAATGATTGAATCACAATATTATTTTTAATGTGTTTCTTTCTATTGTTACACGTAAAAACAAAAAAAAAAGGTTTTTGTTCGCAACAATAGTATTAGAGTCAAGTTTGATTAGGTAACCAACTTAGACAAAGTATTGATTAATAGAATTGACAATGAATCCAAGAGTGAGATCCTAAATAATTGGTAGGAAATTCAAGAGTGAGATCATTCTTTGTGTTAAAAGTCTCTTCCTAAAGTAAGGATGACGTGTCTTGTTAAAGTGTGTTAACGGAGATCAAGTAGGTCACTATTAAATACTCGATAAAAAAAACTTTCGTTTAAGAGATAGCGTGTCTATGTAAAAGAGATTCACACTTGAGAAGAGTGTTAAAGTTCAAATGTTAAGTGAGTCTCATATCGGTTAAAGTTAGACATATTGAATAATATATAAGTAATATTTACTAACCTAATATCTTAAAATTTTTGATTATTTGGTGTCAAGTTTATTCATATAGTCTACTCACTACCAATTGAAGTACTTCCTGATGTTAAAACTTAAAAGATATTTCGAAACAATTTTTATTGAGGGAGGATCTTTGTGTGTGTGTTTGCCCTTAGTAAGTAGGAGCTTGCACAAGCACCAAGAAACCCACTTATCGAACTGGAATTGAAAATTTGTTGAAGCAAAGAGAGAGGAATACATGTGTAACCCTTCACAAAAAGGGGAGGCTACTTTGGAGGTGAAGTTGCAACTCGAGTGTCTCAAATTCTTAAAAAATGAACCAAAGATGACGTCTCAAGGAGTTTTAAATCATTCAGGTTATTTTCTTTTTCGGGTTATTCATGTTCACATGTTCTCTGTTTATTTGTCCTCCTTACTTTTCTATCTTAATAATTTGACATCCTTTATGTAAACTAAGAGTAAAAAATAGTTGTATATGTACTATTTGTCTTATTGTATTTAATCTAGAGTTAATTAATCATGATATAGTTTGGAACCAATAAGCGGAAACTTTCTGGTATGGTTACGAATGCATTAATGGCTGGCATCTTTTGTGGCCCTACTATTAGAGAATATTAAATGTGATACTGATAGAAGCTACCCTTTTGCGTGTAAATCGAAAATACGACTGAATCAGAATCTGAAGAAAATGTTATTCTGTGGAATATTTTTTGAAAACGCTAACATATATTTTTAATTCTTTAAATTTAGGATAAATTTATTTTTTGTTTCTCAAATTAAAATTGATATTTTTAATTTTTGTAATTTCAAAAATTTTATCTTTATATTTAAATTTTATTAATAAATTTATCAAATATTATTGTATAAAATTTATTTATTAATATTTTTTTTTGTAAAAATATCATATTAAATCTAATTAATATTATAAATTATTTTAATATATTACTTTTAGATATGTTATTGGTGATTTAAAAAACAAAAATAAAATTTTTAAAAATTATAAAATTAAAATAATAATTTTAAATTTAAGAGACTAAAATATATTTAAACTAATCTTTTCACTTTTGTCAAAATTGAGAGGAATCAAAGTCAACCAGGTTGCCAATATTCAACTTGGTGGGCCTGTTAACACTCAGGCGCTTGTCAAATTGGTGGGCCTGTAGCCCAAGAAAATGTTACGCTGTTTTCTCGGTTACAGTCTGGGAGGGAAAATAAGAAAATATATTTATAAGAAAATATTAAATAATTTTTAAATATCTATAACTATAAGTATTAATAATTAGTTTCACAAGTAAAATAAAATTATGAATTTATAATAAAAGTTGAGATCTATATTAATTATAGTTTTTGGTTTGCATAAAAACCTATTAATTATATTCTAAAAATCTATTAAATCAGGTTGTTCACCGCATTATATTTTACAACAATAATAATCAATAAATTTTAGAAAAAAATTCCTTTCAAATTGTTACAAAGTAGGAAAAAAGTGTATTGGGACAATGGACATTGTCTTAGGAAACAAACTTCTAGAAACATAGCAAATTTCTAGAAACATACAATATTACAACATGACATTTGATTTGTGATTTTGATGTTCATATAGTATGTAATATCCCAATTTTTATAAAATAATATTAATATTAAGTTATATAATTATTTTAATATTTTTAATATGTTTATTAAAGGATTTTGATATTATTTAGTTATTTATAGGAGTTTTATTCTATTATAAAGCTTGATTTATAATTATTATTTTAATTAAGGAATTAGGAGTTATTTTATAAAGTGTATTTTATTATTATGTTCATGTTATTTGATTAAAGAAAGGAATATGTTTAATTCTATATATATTATATTAATTATTTTATGAGAAAGAGAAGGAAAAATGTGTTGGTAAATGATTAATTATTATTATTATTTATTTTATTAATTGAGAAAAAGAGGTTAAAGAAGTTATCAGAAGTTACAAGTTATTTTCACATATTTACTTCTGACTCTCATTCTCTCTTACACTTTTGAAGACTAAGGAGAGTCAGGAGATTAAGAATATAAACATTATGAAGGTCGGTGGGAGTAGATTCTGTAATTCATAAACAACAAATCCAAAATGGAAATTACTTTTTTTCATTGAACTGTTTTAAAAATCTCAGTTTTCTTCTTTTTTAATTTTCGTTTTGAATTTATTGTTTATGAATTATGAATGTGAATCATCTATTTATGATAATTGAGATTTTGGTTTTATTTATGAAAGATTTTAATTTATATTTATTGTGTAATTATGTACGTGATCTATCACGCGGTATTTATATTCAACATAAGATATCTCACTCATATCTTTCATTTCAAAGTTATTAGAGAGATATTTCTTTACATCATGTAACATAGCAACAAGCAAAATGTCATTAACATATAAGACTAAAATTACAAAGCTACTCCCACTAACATTCATATAGATGTACCAATTAATAGTGTTCTCTACAAAATCATATGATGTAATGATATTATTAAATTTAAGATACAATTGTCTGTAAGCTTGTTTTAATTCATATATTGACATCTTTAATTTACACACCATATTTTCCTTTCCTATAGAAACATACCCTTTGGGTTGATTCATATAAACCTCTTCGTCTAAGTCACCATTTAGAAAGGAAGTCTTTACATCCATTTGGTGAAGCTCTAAATCATAACGAGTCACCCAAATTAACATAATTGTCAAAGATTCATTCTTAAAAACTAGAAAGAAGGTTTCTTTACAATAATGTCATCCTTTTGAATGAAACCTTTGGCAACAAGTCTAGCTTTATATTTTTCAATATTGTCTTTCAAGTCACGTTTGGTCTTAAAGACCCATTTACAACCAACTCATTTTTTAACCTTCAAGCAATTTAACTAGATCCTATACTTTATTATCATCCATTGATTTCAACTCCTTTTTCATTGCATTATACCACTTTTTAGAATTGTCACTTTCTATGGCTTGTCTAAATGAGACTAGATCTTCACCAATGCTCAATTCACATTCATGTTCAAGTGAGTACACAACATAATAGCTTGAAAAAGTTTGTCTCTTTATACTGTCAGACCTCCTCGGTGCTATTTATGGTGCCTCTTTTATCATTTGTTCATTTGTGTGTTACACATTGTTTGTTGGTTCATTCCCTATTTGTTTATCCTGTAGGTTTTGAATATGATCATGTTATCTCTAGATGTTGTTTGACTATAATACAATTAGAGGAACAACATATTGAGAAGGGACTATAAGCGAAAAAGATTGACCAAGAGTCTTTACAATATCCATTATTTGTGATTTCTCACTCCCATTGAACTGACCATTCTTAATGAATATAGTATTATCAAACTCAATTATTCTTTTACTATGATCAGGACAATAAAATATGTAACCTTTGGACTTTTTAGGATATCAAATGAAGAAACCACTAATGGTTCTTGCATCAAGCTTCTTTCATGTGAATTATACACCTTTACAGCTATCAAAAAAAACCCAAACATAGAGATGCCTTAAATTGGGTTTTCTTCTTGTCCATAATTCATAAGGGGTCTGAGGAATAACCTTACTAGGAACCCCGTTAAGCAGATACACAACGATCTTTAATACATTCACCCATAAAGATAAAGGTACAATACTATAATTTAGCATATACTTAACTATGTCCATTAGAGTATGATTATGTCTTTTAGCTACACCATTATGTTGTGGTGTGCCAAGCACAATATACTGTGCACATATGCCTCTACTTTCAAGGAACTTAGCAAATGGACCTAGACATTATCCACTTTCATTAAATTTTCTATAAAATTCGTCACCTCTATTAGACCTTACAACTTTCTTTTTTCTATTTAACTATTTTTCTACCTCATCAATGAACATCTTTAAGATATCCACTAATTATCAATGTGTATCAATCTTAGAAGTTCATTAATTCTTGTTGCAAAATTCTTTGATATTTGTTTAGTTTACTTTCATTTAATACAATATAAACATATATCCCATA